TTCCGAGAATAGCCCAAAAGTTTATGTTTTCTTACTGATGGCAGCAAGTCTGAGGTTTGATAACTTCAGTGTATAAATCAGATACTTCCCCTACTGTGCTTTATTTGGGAACCTCACAATTTGAGTCTGGACTGTCTTCATCTCTGGCAAACTGTCCAGTGGAGGGGAATCACCCTCTGCCCAGGCACTGACTCCACGCTCTTTGTTCAATACCATACTCTTTTAGGCCTGAAGTGACCTTACAAAGACAATGTACTCGGCATGGCAGACTATGAATGTTTTGTTCCTCTTTCTTCTCCAATGTTCTGGTTGTGTTACAGGAACATCTGGGCTTTTGTCTTTTTTAATTGAAAACTTACTTAACAACTGGCTTCTTCAGTATGCTGCTTTAATGAGGATTGTATTTCTACTGTTTGCAAACAAACACTTTCTTGTGTGTTTTAATGGTCTGAAGGGTTTTTTTAATAACTTGTAATGGTAAGATTTTTGTACATGGTGGTCCTTTTCTAATATTCTGTGAAACGGGGATGTAAGAAATTAATGGTTTGTAAGAAACATACTTCTGTATGTTGTAGCTTCACCTGGGAATGCACACTTTTGGCCACCGCTTTGGCTTTGAACTACAGATATTACTGAGGATATAACAACTTCTGTTTTTTCCTTTTGGGACTCTTCCTTGGGCAGATTCTTGAGTCTGTCATCAATACCCAAGCCAGCAAGCTCTGCAGACCAGACTCATTCACACCAGAGCTGCAAATGCTGGAAGAGAAGCCAGTGAAACCATGTCTGAGTCATCTTCTGTATGTGGCATTTAGCAAGGTAGGACTCTTGGCCAGGAACTCTTTAACTTCATCTTGCAAGGTACTTTAGGGACAAAGTGTTACAGAACTTCGGTTTTGTTCTCTAATTGTCAGGAAGTATCTGTATCCATGATCACCTCAGAGAATAAGAAATCAATTACTTTAAATACATCTCTTTGAATGTATGGCACATTTCATGGAGTTTATTTTTTCTGTCAGTTGCAATGTTTTTTTTAAATAAAAATTACCTATTATATATAAATTGCAGTGTTGCTTTGTTTTGTTCAGGTACAAAATGTGTGCTTCTTACCTCTTACTATAATTCATCTTGTCTACAGCACTGTCAGGTAGGAATAATTTGTTTGCTTTTCCCCTCTGATGAGTGGGTGAGCACAAGGCATAAATTGTCCTGAGGCCATGATGCACAACAGGAATTCTGGATTTCTGTCTCCTGCTCTTCCATAGGTAAACTTAACCCTCGTGACCACATAACTCATTTGTTCTTGGGATGCTCATAGTAAAAACAAATTTACTAACAGATTATTAGGTAGCTTTAAAAAAAACCATTTCATGAAAATATGCGAGATTGAAGATGGGACACAGATGGGGGACATGCTCTTTGCAGCCTCTTCTGCAGCACAGAAGATGAGGAGGAAGATGAGCGTTCATCTCATGGCCAACTACTGTCCCAAGAGGAGTCTTGGCCACCCTCCCTGTTGATTCAGAATGGAAAAATGAGCCAAAACTGTCAGGACCAGCCTTGTGACCACTGTGTACCTTCTGGATCTTGCCAGGCTGCTGTTGCAGGCTGTTCAGCTGCTCTGGCATGGGGAGGTGGTTTTGCTGTTGCTATGTGCAATGGCTGTGGAAGCTGGAGAAGAAGACTTGAGGAGGAAAGATGGTTGGAGGCACAGGAGAGAAGGTCAGGAAGGGCAGAAGGAGAGAGGTGGGAGAGACTGAGCTTGCTCAAATAAGAGGCTGAAGGGAGAGACTCCCAGAGGGAAGGAAATGAAGGAAAATCAAGACCTGAAGGGCAAAGTTAGGTAAATCAGCAAAGTGGGGAGAAAAAGAGGAGGACAATGAGGATGGGGAGTAAAACCTGCTAGTTGTGTTAACACTCTGCTGGCAGTGGAGACAATAACCCACAGAGTTCCCACAATGGCCGAGCCTGCTCATTACTCAGTGGCTGCACCATCTGTCCCAAATAGCACTGGTGTTACTAGCTGCTGTTCTGGCTTACTGGTGGGAAGCCAGTGGTGGGGCTGTCCCTAAATGAAACAACAGGGAACCCCATCTCTGGACACTGCAGCAGCCCGGCCCATGTCCTGCTGGCTGGTGCAGTGCTGGGCCTGGCCACCCTCAGGCAAATCTCTCCCTTGGCTGTGCAAAGCAGATAGTGCTCTGCACTGCAGTTCCATACAGGAAGAGATTTCATGGTTAGATGTTTGGGATGCATGGAGTTAGGTGCAATTTAAAAACATTTTAAGACAAAAAATAAAGCTCACATTTGGCACTGGGTAATAAAAGTTGGCCCACAGGTTCTGTTTGTTAAATATGGTTGTGATCAGACTCACCCTTGAGAGCCAAGCAGGGTTCAAGGACCTGACTGACAACTGTAGCTTTATTGGAGGCTTTCTGTGACAAAGCAGGCATTAATGTGTAAGTCAACAATATGCCAATAAATAAACAGACTGCCCGGATACCTGTGGCAACAGCAGTAAATAAGAGACAGGGACTAGAACAAAATGTGTCCTGGAGCAGGGGCAGGTTTCCCTGTAAACAGCCTTGTAGAGCAGCCAGTCCCCCAGTGGATGCCAGCATTTGGAAGTGCCCTGATAGCAAACACAGACTTAGGACTTCAGATCTCTGTCCCTGCCCCTTCGGTGTCCCAGCTTATGTGGATTTGGCTCTTGTAGGTGCTGGCTTAGCTGTGCTATGAAACTAAGGGGCTTTGCTCAGCCTCATATGGGCTAGCAGAATCATGCTGGATTTCTCTATCCATCAGCTCTTCCATGAGCCTCTGTCATTTTCCAGCCCAAGGCTTCATAGCCTTCTAAGGCTGTGGCTCGTAGGTGCCAGGGAGAGCCAAGGATGCTTTGCCTCCCTGAAGCATCTGCTGTGAGGCTGCCATAGCCTGTGCCCATTCTGGCCTCATCACTGTGAGACAGCAACTTCTGTCCAGCTTGCAGCAGAGGGGATAATACCAGTGTCAATGGTTTTTTATGATTAGTGTTTAATTGAAGTTGCTATGAGGTAGGAGATGGCTGTGCACATGTGCTGTATGAGCAAAGTTGTGTTTGACTTTGTGCCATTCCCTTTAACTCTGTCCCTTTACCGGTTAATGCATCCTTAACTCTCACAGTCATGGTTTTTAGGTGATTATTGTTGCCAGCTGCCAGAATTTGTAGGTCCAGGTCCATGCATGTTGTCACCAAGGTGGACATGTAGAAGAGGCAGCTTTGCTCACATGTGTTGTGAATCTCTGTCCCATATGAGAGACAGGAATTTTTTTTTCCTTTTCTTTTTTTCTTTTTCCTTGGGGCAAAACTGGTGTTCTACAATCATGAAGCACTAGGTTGTTCAGTGAAACAAGTATAACTACCCGCTGGCATTGGTATATGTGCAGACATGTGTGGCATTTATTATAGTTATTATAGCTAGAGATAAATGGCCATAATCATCTATGTGCTGTGTGAAAGAAAAACAACCACCATACACAACAAAACCAACACTCTCCAGCAGCTGATCAAAAGTAATAAGCATCACCCATAACAACAGCTGCCCTGGGTGAAACTCACTCTCCTCTGAGTATCTTTTATGTCTGGCAATGTGTGCATCACAACTTTATACAGCTTCCAAAAATAATTTGTTTAAAAGGTTCCTGGTTTATATTTGTTTCCTCATCTGTCATCTCAATAGATGAAATGAAACTTTATTAAAAGCCAGGCTTTGACTAACGGACATAATGAGTGGGTTTTGTCACTTTAGTAAAACTCTGTGCATGCTGGAATGAATTATGTGCCTTTTGAAAAATACAAAGAACTTGCTATTGTAGGACAATAGCAACTTGATGGAGCACAGCAATAATATGATGTGTGTCATCCGTCTGTTTTTCTATACAGCTGCTGAGCTGCAGTTTGCTGTCCCAGTGCTGGTTTTTTTCATGCTGCAGGGCCAAAAGTAGCATTCATTCATGGTTATTTGCTAGCACTGCAGGCGTGAAACTCTTCATTCTGCAAGGATGTCTACTCCAACATGGCTTTTCTAAGATTAAGCTAATGCTGCTGACAATTTGTGGGCTTCACCACCTTGAGGAGATGTATTCTGCACCGTCCATGCACACTAGCCATGGCCCCTTCTTTCACACCAGAGCATGAACTAGCACCTTTGTGTGCATGAACCAAAGTACCATAAAAGGTGAACTTGTGGGTGTGAATCTGCTGGGTCTCATGTGAAGACTGAGCGCCCAAATGCCACCAGAAAATGCAGTGCTGCCCCTTATCACCATGCCACACTTTGCCCCCTCACACTGCTCACTTTGCTAGTTTGCAAGCAGCCGGCTGCAAAGCTGTATCCCTGATGCCAAATCTTAATAAACCTTAATCCAAGAAGTGCCTGCATCAGGATTAAAAAAACAATAAAATCTTTCATGAGTCACAGCAACCCAGTGCTGGTATTGCTTTGCCAGTAGTCTGAGTCAGCCCAAGCACCATCCACCAGCCCTTGGCCCTCCTCAGTGGCACAAGGAGCGGATGTGTTCCCGGTGGTGGTGGGCTGTGAAGGATGGGCAGAGCCCTGGTGAGTGAGGCTGTGTTTGGTTTGCTTGTAGTTCAACACATCTGGGGGTTTGGAGACCCAGTGCAGCCTGTAGGGTCTTGCTGTCTCCCTGTCTTCCAGCGCTCAGCAGCGAGCTGTGTAACACACCTGCTGCTCTGAGCTCTGTAACCTGGCCCAGTGACCCTGCCATGCTGCCCAGGGCTCTCTGGCCTGACTGTGACTGCAGAGGAGCAGTATCAGCACTGCTGTGGGCCAGACAGAGTCAGCAGCATGGGACCCTGGCTGGAGGACTGGTGGGCATGGCTTCACATCAGCATGGCAAAACACCACCTCCCCCTGCACCCAAATCATCAAACACATGCATTCAGCAACAAAGCTTTTATTTTTTATTAAAATAAAGTGTAACCTTTTAATTTCCCTTGCTTTGTTCCTATAAGGAATGGCTTAATATGAGAGTTTGCTAATGTAGGATTGGTGTGTTACAATGTACACTGAGGCAAAAAAAAACCCCAAACCAGACAAATCCCATCTTCAATGCATCAGCTTTTGTTCCTTTCCTGGCAGGAGGAGAATATGGAAGGTGACACTGCATGGCTTTAGTACAAATGGGGTCATAGTTACCAGAGGCTGTTATGTTCCATCTCCCTCCGTTCCCTGATCATATCCTGCCTGTAGGAGCACTGAAAGACCCACACAGTATCCTGACTTGGACCACCTACACAGCTCCTCCAGGGTGGGGGCTGGAGAGTTCACAACATCAGTAAGCAAACATGCAGATGCCATCATATGATTAATTTTCCCTTTAAATTGACTTAAATCTTTCAAGAGTAATGAAAAAGCCAAAATGCTAATTCTAATGACAGGATTGTCTTTTTCTTAGTAGGAGGAAAAAAAAAGGCTACTGCTAACTAGAGCACAGCTGCTACATTGCAGCTCGGGCCAGAGCCCACTGGAGGTGTCTCATTGACTTCACTGGGTTTGGACTACTCCCGTTTGCACTTGACTGCAGTCAGTGCAGTCACCACTGCTGAGGAAGACTGCAGAGCTGGGAGTCACTGCTGGTTTAACATCACCCTCCCTTTCTTGGGCTGCATATAGTTCAGCTTGGTTCAGTCATCTGCTAAACATATTGTTTTATACACGAGAGACTGAAATACTTAACAGAAAGTGGGGAAATTGCATGATTTGTAATGATATTTGTTATATTCAACTGTTAGCAAAGGAAAAAAAAAACAAGTTAACGTTCAGTACCACAGTCAGAAAGATTGTTTGTATGTATATTTCAGTCATGGGACTAAGATACAAAGCTTAGGATGGTAAATACACGTCTCTACTAAATAATGCAAACTTTTCTAGCACACCAGTCAGCGCTGGCAGCCCTGGCTGCGCTGCCTCATCTGTAGAAGACAAAACCAAGCCCCCTGGCAAAGCTGAAGGGATGCTTCTGCCCTTCTCTTGCCCTCATCGCCCCTTGGCTTGTCTGAGGTTTGTGTTCCTTGGTGAAGCTGCCAAAACAAACATGCTTTGGGGCATTGCAGTGTGGGGAGCCCCCTCACTCAGCCCCTCATACGTGAGTGCCACCGAGCAGGGCAGGGAGGAGGTGGCACGCTGGTTACTCTGCCAAATGGCACCCTGGTACAGGCTGTGCTTCATGTTACATTCTCCTAGCTGGCTACGTTCAACAGCTGCTCCTTGGGGATACCCAAAAATACCTGTTCAATAGAAAAAAAAAGCCCTAAGAAAAGCAATGGAGCAGAGCTGTACTTGGCAGAGTTTCTAGGGGTACTTTTCAGAGGGCTCTTAAGATCAAAAGTTGGTCTTTAGAGACAACTTTGTGTGTGTCTGCCCCTCATTTATGCAGTTCAGGAGGTTCTTCTTTCAGAAGTGACCTCCCTTGTCCACTGCTTCTTGTGCTGCCAATGTATGTTCGCATCTGTTCAGGGTCAAGAACTTCTCGTCTTACTGGTCCACCATGGGTGGACTGTCCTGTCCAGTAACACTTGGTGGGAAGGTGGCACTGAGCCCCCTTGTACTGTCATCACCTGGGAGTTCAGTGTTCTCTGGTAGCTTGCGCATTTGCCTGCTGGCTGCTCGTTGCTGCTGCTCCTTCAGCTCACTGTAGGAACGGGAAAAGGTATGAAAGATGGATGTGACTGGGAAAGCCATCAGCAAAATCCCACTTAAGATACTGCTCAGGGCTACCACCTGTCCAGGGATGCTACGAGGCACCATGTCCCCGTAGCCAACAGTTGTCATGGAGATCACAGCCCACCAGTAACTGGTGGGGACGCTGGTGAATTCTTGCTTGGCTCCCAGTTCACTTTCAGCCAAGTACACCAGCGGTGAGAAGAGGGCCATGGCGACACAAAGGAAGAGCAGGAGGAGGCCAAACTCCCTGGTGCAGCGGCGCACAGTGAGCCCCAGCGTCTGCAGCCCCAGCGAATGCCGCGCCAGCCTCATCACGTACAGGATGCGCAGAGCCCGCAGGAAGCGCAGCACCAGGCCCACTCTCTCCAGGTACTTGTTCCCAGATCCCCCGCCAGGCTTGCTGCTGTTTTTTGTGGAGACCGTATCCACAATGAGAGAAATATAGAAAGGCAGAATGGCCAGGATGTCGATGATGTTGAGCGGAGTTTTCAGGAAAGCACACTTGTTCTCTGCCTGAATGGATCGCAGCAGGAACTCAAATGAAAACCATGCCACACACACCGTCTCCAGCACAAAGATGTCATAGCACTTCCGTGAGCATTCACCCTGGGGAGAAGAGGAGCGGGGAACACATAAAAGGGGAGAGAAAGAGATTTAGCCAGGGAATGAACCAAAGAAACAGAGAGTGGCAGTTCTTAAAGAAAAGTACCATGTGAAATTGATAGGAATTGTGATGTAAAATCATGGCTGCTGAGAGCAGTTGGAAGGGATAACTAAAACCAGAGGTACTAACTACATGTTTGGCTGCAGGACAGGTCAACAATGCTCTGGAGTATCCCAAGGCTGCCAAGAATCTGGTGTGATGTTATCAGCTGTGAGCCAGACAGCCCACTGCTAAAAGGCCAGTGGCTCATGCTTAATTTCTAACCGAACGTTTAACACCCTTTAGAAAGGGTTAGTACAGAATTCATGGATTTTAAGAAATGTGCAATTCCTCCTTCCCCTCCTGATCAATAATAAATTGCTTATAAATGGCTCATAAGCACCTAGAGCATTTTAAGTTATATGCTTGGAGTTATCTATATTATTCACTGAATATAGAACATATTTTATATTCCAGTGAGCATTTATTAACAGACTAGCCCTACAGCCAAAAGCTTATATAAAATATGATAAATATAGGTATTTCTAGAAGAAAAAATACCACAAAATAGAGGGGGGGTCCAGAGAGATAAGTATTTTTAGTTACCTCACCTGTAACAACCAGTGACCACAATGCCTTCTTCAAGCTTTCTGAGGCACTGGAAGTGGTGCTCTTCCCTGCAGGCTTGTTTAGTGGCAAATAAAGAGAACTCTAGCTCTTTAGTTATGACGCCTGTAAACAAGCCAACCTTGGTGCATTGGAGCAGCAATAAACAATAATGCTGATGATGGCTGCTCTTCAGTTATTAATTCAACAACACAAATACTATGACAATTCTCTGCTACATCACTGTTGGTAACTCCAGCTGAATAATAATCAGCTTCTCTCAATTTTGAGAGATTTTGATGTGGACAGTTATAGGTCTAGTGCTGTTTTCTCTGTTAAATGCTCATATAAACGTGTGAATGCTCTGGGTGCTTTGTGTGGAAGGCAAGTGTATATTTATTTAAGGGAAGTGTATATTTATTCAGTGTGCCAGTCTGACTCTGAACAGTTTGTGAAAACTCCTGTAAGCATGTAGGAGTCCATCCATGCTGTAGGGTGTGTGACTCCCACTGAATGCAATAGGTAATAGGTCCCAATGTCCAACCTCATTTTACTTGCCTATGCTAAATTATAGCAATAAAACATCATTCAAGAGTGGTGAGGCTGTGTCAAGCTGGTCTCCGTTTCACCACTGAAGAAGCTGGGAACCTGGCACATCTATTAACAGTTTTGCCCACATGCTCACCACGGGTGTCTTCTGCTACACAAAGCCAAGAAAATTTTTACTGCAGAGCCCCACATCCTAACTTCATCCTTCTCTCAGTGTGTATGCACAGGTTTTTCCCTTTTGGGAAAGAAAACATCAAAAGAGTGCTAAGACATTTGCCCTCTTTGCTAACTGCAGCATTCCCCAAAATGTTGTGGAGTGACTGGATACGTTTCAAGGGCTGCTGCACCGCCAGCAGCAAGACCAGTGTCATCACACTGAATATAAAGCCGTGTGTTACCTCAATATGATAACCCAAATGCCAGGGCACCCTGCACATTCTACACTTAAGAAGAGATTGAGACAGCAACTAAGGAGATGTCAACAGGAAAAACAGATGTGGAAAGGAATCCTCAGAACCAGCATTTATGGTTCTTGTATTAACCATGATAAAAGGTTGTTGTGCCTTGTGTTTATAGATTTTTTTTTATTTCACTTTCAGTTGGCATATGATGTACCTCCCACTGTTACCCAGGAGGTCATGCAGATACGAAGAGAAAAATTGCTTGTCCTATTGAAATTGCTGTCAAGATTATTTCAGGGAGGAAGGATAATCTTGGTTTACTAGTGTAGTAGCTCAGATAGCCTGTCTTTAACTTCCTAAATTTGATACGTGTGAAGACTAGAAGGAGCTTAATTTATGTCTGCCTCACCAAACTAATTTGGTTGTAAGTAAGTATTTTTGTCACAAACATAACACATAGGACATCAGATTTTGTTTCTAGGAGCTTTGCTCCTCTCACAGCATAATTAAGCTGTCAGGCTCTCCCATCAGATGAAGAACCAAGATGCTTTCACACCATTGCACAAATCTGGCTCTGTGGGCCAGAGCCAAAGCTCACAAAGTCACTGGAAGGACTCTGCCTGTGCCACTGTAACTTCACAGAATCACAGAATACGCTGAGTTGGAAGGGATATGCAAAGATCATCGAATCCAATTCCTGGCCCTGCACAGGACCATCCCCGAGAGTCACACCATGTGCCTGAGAGCATTGTCCAGGCTTGGTGCTGTGACCACTTCTCTGGGAAGCCTGTTCCAGTGCCCAACTGCCCTCTGGGTAAAGAACCTTTTTCTAATATCCAACCTAAACCTCACCTGACACAACTTCAGGTCATTTCTAGTCACCACAAAGGGATCAGTCCCTGACCCTCCCCTTTCTCACTCAAGGAAGTTGTAGACTGCAATGAGGTCTCCCCTTAGTCTCATCTTCTCCAGGCTGAACAGACCAAGTGACCTCAGCCGATCCTTATACGGCTTCCCCTCAAGGCCCTTCACCATCTTCATTGCCCTCCTTTGGTCACTCTCTAATGGCTTAATATCTTTCTTATATTGCGGTGCTCAAAACTGCTCACAATATTCAAGGTGAGGCTGCACCAGTGCAGAGCAGAGTGGGACAATCCCCTCCCTCGATTGGCTGGTGATGCTTTGCCTGATGACCCCCAGGACAAGGTTGGCCCTCCTGGCTGCCAGGGTACTGCTGACTCATATTCAACTGGCTGTCAACTAGGACCCCCAGCTCCCTTCCCCTGACACTGCTTTCCATCATCTCATTCCCCAGTCTGTACAAACATCCAGATTGCCCCATCCCAGGTGCAGCATCCATCAATTTCTCCTGTTGAACTTCACATGGTTGGTGATTGCCCAGTCCTCTAATTTGTCGTGGTCTCTCTGCAGGGCCTCCATGCCTTCAGGGATGTCAACTTCTCTCCTTATGACTCAGAAACCAGCCATCAGACCAATATTGTCCCTGAGCCCTGCTTCCTAGGAATCTCTCATTGGGATATGCTTGCTCTCACACCTAAAGGCAATGGTTGCAGGTGAATTGCAGCACTTGATACTACCCTTGCAGGTGCACAGCAGGATCAGGCTGAGATGTTAGGATAACAACCCAGAGAAGAATAACTCTGGCTTGAGCAAAGCAGCTAGCAATGACAAGAAGATAAATAACCCAATGTGCAAATTTCCTTTCTCTGACAGGTATGCCACTACTTGGACCACCATGTATGGACACTAATATAGAGTTTGCTTTAAGATACCTATCTGACAGGAAGCTTTCTGGATGCTGATGTGCAAATGTAGAATTTTTGTGCCACTAACAGTTTTAGGAAAGTCACTGAAGCCTATGGAGGATTTAGCCTTGGAATAGACCTACAGAGTCACTAAGGTGTCTCATAGCTAATTTGGCACCTAATTCCCCCAGTACTTTCTATTAGCTGCATGTGGAAAAGAGACTGTCCAAAGTGTTTCTTTCTGTATATGAGTTTTGATGTGGGAACAAACAGGAATGAAAATTGTTCCTCATTAAAAGACTACTAGTGGAGATGACCTTTGGAAGACTCTGTCTGCCTTCCCACGCTCTGACACATTTATCCTATGTAGGTTCACAAACCTACACCTTTGCTATTTATGTCTCCAATCTTCCCGCAGAAATTACATCCTAAATGCAAGTGCAGGAGCAGCCTGGCAACCTTGGTTCAGCTGAGCTCAAGAGGCTTGGTGGTATCTGAAGCTCGGGTCACCCAATGCAGCAGAACCAAGCCGGTATATTTGCCCATCAAGGCAATGAAGAGCTGAAATGTGCTCTACCTAGAGCCGATGTTGGGCCCTGGCTTTTTTTCGCTCTTCCCACTATCCACAGCTGACAGCTAACGTGAATGCCAAAATGTTTATATCCAGTAGAGTGGAGTGATAATGCTCTGCTACACAGAGTTCATTTCAACAGGATGCAACAGTCCTCACTTTCAGCTAAGGCATAATTATCTCCAGCAAAGTGCTGATCTTCCTCAGTATCGTTATTAACCTACTGTAATCTGAACAAGCTAGGATGTGTCCAGAGGCTGTCCTGAGAATACGAGGGTCTGAACAGGCTTTTAGAAAACAGATCTGTGCATCAATCAACCTGCTAGAGGTCTTTTTTTCCACTAATTAAATGTCTTCCTGTCCCTTGGACCATGTTTCAATATCATCTGGTTATGACCTATTATAATCCTCACATGAAATCAAAAACAGCAACAGCAAAAATGCTCTTTGCGCTTCGTTTCTTTCAGCTGCAGCTGCTTTTCTTTGCAGTTTTTTCCCCCCTTGACTACAGCATTGGTTAAAAAAACTCACGATTTTTCTTTCTAAAACCTTTAACTCTGTATTTGAGTCCACCGGATGCTGTAACTCTGCTTAGGGTTTCGAGGTTTTTTTCTGTTTATGAAATAAAACAAAAATTATCAGAAAGACACATGCACAGACAGAAAAAAAAAAACAACCACCCAAAACTTAATCAGCCATTGGAACACAAGAAAAACAAGTCCTAACAGAATAGAATAGCATCCTGCCCGAAATAGGTCTGCATCAAATCTGTATGTTCTCAAAAAAGATCGAGCTATACCAGCTTGTGGCCATAAACATGTACATTAACAACTACATACTGCTTTTTACTTTTTATAAGCCAAATAGCTGGCTCTCACACCAATGAACCAGACTTCTTCACCTTGTAATCTGATGGATACATTTTTGTCATTACATTTCCATATCTGGATTTCTGAAAATGGACCACAGGGAAAACAGTTGTTCTTTACAAAATGTATGTTTATTTATGTGTGTACATTTGTTTCTTTCAAACAGCAAGCAGGTTTTTTTTTCCCTGTGCAGAAATTACT